GGGTGGAAGAGGGAGGGGGTAACGAGGTTAATGGATATTAGATTTAATTAATTAATCAGTGCAAAATATAATTAGGTGTTGAAATTTTATTGGGTGGAGAGGGGTGTGATAGGAGATGATAGATTTTTTTTCTTCCTAAGTTGTATGCCAACGAACATATTTGGAATATGATGTTAATATATTTTCTAAACTAGACAGTAAAAAAATAGATGGTAAAAACATGCAAATTCCAAGAATCCTACAAAATTAAATGCTAGTAGAGAGAGAGAGAGAGAGATTTTTTTATTGTTATTATTAGGGTGTTCAAAATCCCGACCAACCCAATTAACTAAACCCAATTCAACGTAATTGATATAACCCGAAGTAACCTGATGTCTAAACGAGTTGTAAAATTTTCAAACCCGTAGATATTAGGTTACTATTATTTGAATCTAACTCAACCCGATAAACCCGATATCTTTTCATTTCTTGGATATAATATGACTGTTGAGTTTATATTAATATATATACATTAGATAATTACACTATTACGTACACTCTTCATATATACATACTTTCAATCTATTCTCCATCTTTATGTAACTCATTCGTATATATGTTCCGTAACTGTGAACATATATATATATATATATATATAAATTGAGAAAACTAATTGAATGTGATATACGTAAGAAGTATGAATATGTTGTATCAAATAGTTGATGATGAAAAAGAAATTATGAGTAGAGAAATAACATATTCAATGATAAAATAATATTTTAATGTACCAAAGTATCAACCCGACTAACCCGATCAATCCGTACGGTTTGGGTTGGTTGGGTTAAGATTTTTTAAACTGCAAATATTGAGTTGGGTTGTTCAAATGTCTTCAACCCGATCAATTCAACCCATGAGCACCCCTAGTTCTTATAGGTTTAAATATTTGAAGTTTGTTGGAATATTAACAGGGTGTTTGGGATTGCTTAACTTATGTTTTTTTTTTAAATGCTTATGAACTTATGTGGTGTCAAAGTGGAGTTTTATAGAAAGTGTTTTGATTAGTTTATGTAGTACCAAAATGTAATAAGCTAATAAGTTGTTTTTTAGTGTTTGTTAAACTTTTGCTTATTTTGTTATTCATATAAAATGATCAAAAAAGACATTCTTTCCAAAAAAAAAAAAAAAAACTTCCTCACTTCTTTCTTCCTGCATACAACAATATGTAGTTCTCTCTCTCCTACAAATATCCAACCAATCCACCATTGAAATGCGTTCTTATGCTTCCTTCTTCATCTTTTTTCCCCACAAATTTTCAACTCAACAATGGTGGCTCAACGGTTTTCTTTAATCCTACAATCGAACAGTTCTTCATAAAAACCTGCAAACCAGTCAACCCTTTGACTTTTCCTCCTACAATTCTCCCACTGACCTCTCGAAACTTGAATCAGAACACCTTCTTGTCAAGATTTTGGATTCTTTAAGGTCGTTAATCATGGAATTCCTACCAAATCTATATATCTATATAAAGGAGAATCATCAAAAGATGATGTGACATCTTGAGAGAGTTAGAATTATTAATTGCTACTTTTTCTAATTTTTGAATTATTTAAAATAAAAACATATAATTAAATGAATGAACCTTTCATTTACTTTATATATATAAGTTACGTATAATAATCTAATAAACTTTTAAATCTTTATCTTTATATCTATAATCTATAAATAAGAACCAAAAGACATGATATGACATAATGTGGATTGAAAGTTCCAAAATATTGAATTGTAGTTAATTTTGTCCACCTTACATTTATAAAAAGATGATATGTTGGAACATTGAGGGTGATTATATAAAGAAAAGGATGACAACTTTTTCTTTACATGGTGTATTATTTATGATTACTTTAATTCATCAATAAACTCAAATCGGAAGCCATTAAAATTTTATATTCTCCTCTTTCGGTGAAACAAAAAACTGGCCTACCTTCACCTTTTGGTTATGGAAGCAAGAACATCGGTAGAAATGGCGATGTTGGTTGGGTTGAATATCTTCTCCTCAACGCCAAACCCGAATCCTCTAAGGTTAAAGAAAAGGATAAAAAGGTAATTTTGTTTTTAAAGTTGATAATTTGTTTATTATAAGTTAACGTATAGTAACTTATCAAAAAATTCTTATTACTGGTGCCAAACCGGTATAAGCACTCTTTTTTTCATTCCATCCAAACACTGAAAACTATTTATTATCAATACCACATCGAAATAAGTCGATAAACTCTTTAAATAAGCAATACCAAACACCCCCTAAATATACTAAATATCTTAATACCATAATTACAATTGAATATTCAAAATGGAAAAATCACTGAAGTTTGGTATACATTTTTTTTGAAGATTTGACTTTTCTTTCTCCAATTTAAAAAAAATATGAAAAAATTATTAAAGATATTGTATGTATATAATAATTACACTAAATACAAATGATTATGTATTAATAAGAGTTATATAATATTTAATAATTTATTTTTAAAACTTTTATCCAAAGTTATATAATATGTTAAAGATTATTATTTAGATATACACTATATTATTTTCGAGAAATATATAATTTATATATATGGAAATAATAAAAATAATAGAAACGTAGAAACTTTAAATAGATTTAATAAAAAAGAATATGATTAAAAAAAGGAAGTTAATATTGTAATTTTACAACTTTGTCTTATTGTTTTTGTTTTATTCCATCCATTCCAACATAACAAACCATTACATTTCTGTTTCACTCATTTCTCATGTTGTCCGGTTCAATGTCGTATAAAGTATGAAGCAATATTATTTTGCTTTGTCATTTTTCATTTCTCTTGCATACCAAGTACACACTTACGAAGTTCATTGTTATTTCCACTGAATCAATTCAGACTTCATACCTTCACATATTGGTTTGCGACAGATCAGTCTTTTTATAGATGTTAGGTTCTAGAATATTCCTTGGTCAAATAATTGATT